TTCTTCTACTATATGTCGCGTCCCTTCAGGTCATGAACGATCATGGCTCTCCACATCTACCAGTCTTGCGTGGGGGGTCTTTAGTAGTTTCTCTCATCAGGTTAATGGTTCGTTGCCTTCCCTTGTCCCTTCTGCACTCAATACACCCCATAGCGTTGAGGTTTTCAAAGTCCTCCATTCTCATAATGTGCCCAAGGAATTTCGTTTTGTATACTAAGTTTATTTTAACCAATTCCTCTTCATTGTTTCTGCTATGTTGTTAGAGATTGTTGATAAAATACAAATAAGAAACTGCAAGGTCATTGGTCCTGACATGGCATCTCGGTTTCAGTCACTTTCCCACCGCCGTAACGTAATTTCCATGTGCCTTTTTCTGTAAATACTTTCATGATTCTTCTGGTGAGATTCCATCTTTGGTATCTAGGCTACAAGATTTATGCTGCTGTGCTTAGATTTGCGGCATGTTTTTATTTTTATTTGTGACCCTGGAGCGCCAGCCCACGTAGTTCGAAAATGGATGTTCTTCGCTACGACCTACAGCATTCATTCGCTCGAAGCCACATTTAACAATCGAGCTGGGAAATCGATGATCGAAATTATTGCATTCTGTTTGAAGATTTGAAATTAAGAATTGCACAGGATCTGTGGGCTGTGTGATATATATATATATATATATATATATATATATATATATATATATATATATATATGATAAAATTAAATAATTCTGCGTGACGCGTTTCGACATCTGGAAGGACTTCTTCGGATTTCTAGTGGATTTGAAATTAAGAATTGCACAGGATCTGTATATATATATATATATATATATATATATATATATATATATATATATCAATGTTCCACGATAGTCTAATCCACTTTCTCAAAATGCTCTTAGGAATGGAATGATTCCGTCTCATTTCAGTCCCCCTTCAATGGGTTAAATATCAGGGTAGACAAGCATGCCTAGCGTTGAGTGGCAACAAGAAACCAATCAGTTATTTTTCTCAAGAATCTGTGATAATTCACAGATAATAAAGTAAAGGAAACTGTGGACAGTCATAATCGTTTACTTCCAATTGAAAAAAAAAAGAATCACTCTGTCATAGCAATAGTAGTATCTGGCTACTCATAATCGAGGATACTCGTCTACTAGGGAGGCTAGCCAATCCCTAATTCAGACGCTGGCCCAGGCACATTTGTGTTTGTTCAACACCCCCAGTGGTTTATACTGCAACTATTCTGAGAAGACCTTAGTTACGGTTTCTAGAAGAGATCGTGTTATCTAGCGTGATCAACAATCTGAACAAGGCCAGAAAAACCCTCGGTCACGATGTCTTGTGACTATCGACGGTTCCCCAAGTGTTCCGTCAACCCGTTTCATTCACAAGGCTTGGCTCAACTCGTGGTATGGTTTTCAGGCACTTTCCAAGGGTGCCCCATGCCGGGATCGACCCCGCTCCAGACCGATAACGTCAGGAAGTCTCCTTCCTGGCAAATCAAACCGTAGTGAGATTCTCATGGTCAGAAAACGAACGTTCTAAACACTCTGCGTCCATTACTTCCTATTAAAAAAAGTATTACTCTGTCATAGTACACATGATATTGACAATGCCATGGTTAGTTTGGCATAAGGCAAAAATAATTGAGCATACTAAATATCAAACCCAAAATAGTCGACATAGAATGATGAATGTACTGAGCATCTACAAAGTTCCTCATCTTTGGATCTGGTGTCACAGCCACACTGCATATAGCAGCCCTGAAAAGTTATCTTTGTAATTAATATAACCGATGGAAAAATTCTTTATATAATATGTTACCCAAAATTTTGGACGATGTCAAGTTTCTGATAAAATGAAAATAATTTGTATGAAGGCAATAGTTTCAACCGATGTATATATTTGCCAATGACAAAGAAGCTTATGAATTCATTTTTTTTAAAGATCAAAATAGCCTTTATCGTTTCAGAAAAAAATTAAAATTTGTATAAATAACGATTCGGTTTCGATTTCTGTTTGTATTACCGTAAAACAAAGGGAACACTGTAGCGCGATCTTTGCTTGCGCAATATCATCAAGATGCTTTAAATTCAAGAACGAAATAATTTTTAGTTCAATTTGTCTATTAATTATATTGTGGATTTGTGTTGCCATTTACCCTCGAAAATAACGATGTATGTGTTTAATCTTATTATAATATCAGAAAAAAGAATCGTATCAACCATGAAAGTCAAAAAGAAATGAAAAGCGAGTTATGTGCCATGCGTGATACACGGTTAGTCGATCATGTACCTTTCGATACATGACTGACGAGGCAGATTTTTTATTCCTGCAGTAGGTTGCCATTTCTTTCTGAGGTAGACCAGTTGCTATAGAACCTGTTTTGCCCTGGTATTTACCTTTACTTCGGGGGAGGGGAGAGGATTTATACTTTTCCCAAGGGCATCAGCACGTAAGTGATGGATTCGGCTGGAATTCGAACACGGCTCTCCGATTAC